GCAATGATGCAGGAATGCCACCACCACCACCCAAATGGAAAGGGAGATGCGAACTTAATGCGACATCTTGTAACAACAAACTAATTGGAGCAAGGTCTTTCAACCTTGCGGCGAAGGCAAGGAAAGGAGAAGTGGCACCAATTGATGAGGATGGACATGGGACTCACACATCAAGCACAGCTGCTGGTGCTTTTGTTGATCATGCAGAAGTATTAGGGAATGCCAAAGGCACAGCAGCAGGGATTGCCCCTTATGCTCACCTGGCAGTGTACAGAGTTTGCTTTGGAGACCACTGCCCTGAGAGTGATATATTGGCAGCATTGGATGCAGCTGTGGAGGATGGCGTGGATGTAATATCAATATCCCTCGGCCTAAGGGAGCCAGCACCTTTTTTCAATGATAGCGCTGCAATAGGCGCATTTGCAGCAATGCAGAAGGGAATCTTTGTAAGTTGTGCAGCAGGAAACTTTGGCCCTTTTCATGGCTCATTAGTTAACGGGGCCCCTTGGATTCTCACAGTTGGAGCAAGCACTATTGACAGAAGCATCGCAGCAACAGCAAAGCTGGGAAATGGGCAAGAATTTGATGGGGAATCTGTTTTCCAGCCTTCCAATTTTAATCAAGAACTGCTATCCTTAGCATATGCTGGAAAGAATGGCAAACAAGAAGCAGCATTTTGTGCTACTGGATCCTTGAGTGATGTTGATTTCATAGGCAAGGTTGTTTTGTGTGAGAGAGGAGCGGGTACAGGAAGACTTGCCAAAGGAGAGGAAGTAAAAAGAGCAGGTGGTGCAGCCATGATTCTCATGAATGATGAAACCAATGGCTTCAGTCTCCCAGCTGATGTACATGCTCTACCTGCAACACAAGTAAGCTACGATGCTGGACTTAAGATCAAAGCCTACATAAATTCCACTGCAACACCTACAGCAACCATTTTATTCAAGGGAACTATAATTGGAAACTCCCAATCTCCTGCTGTTTCATCCTTCTCTTCAAGAGGTCCCAACTTGCCAAGTCCTGGCATTTTGAAACCAGACATCATAGGACCAGGCGTGAACATCCTAGCTGCCTGGCCATTCCCCCTGAATAACAGCACAGATTCAAAATCCACTTTCAACATTATGTCTGGTACATCAATGTCATGCCCACATCTCAGCGGCGTAGCTGCTTTGCTCAAAAGCTCTCATCCTCACTGGTCGCCAGCTGCCATAAAATCTGCCATAATGACTTCTGCAGACATAGTCAATTTTGAACAGAAACTCATTGTCGATGAAACACTTGGCCCTGCAGATATCTTTGCCACAGGTTCTGGTCATGTTAATCCATCAAGAGCAAATGACCCCGGGTTAGTTTATGATATCGCGCCTGATGATTACATACCTTATCTGTGTGGCTTAGGCTACGGTGATACGGAAGTTGGGATCATTGCACACAGAGCAATTAAGTGCTCTGAGACTTCAAGCATTCCTGAAGGAGAACTCAACTATCCCTCATTTTCGGTTGTGCTTGGTTCCCCACAGACATTCACAAGGACTGTGACAAATGTGGGGGATGCCAACTCATCGTATGTTGTCATGGTTACGGAACCAAAAGGGGTTGTTGTTAAGGTGCAACCAAATAAACTTTATTTTTCAGAAGCGAACCAGAAAGAGACATATTCAGTGTCATTCAGCCGTATAGGGTCGGGTAATGAAACTGCAGAATATGCTCAAGGGTTTTTACAATGGGTCTCTGCCAAACACACTGTAAGGAGCCCTATCTTGGTCATTTTTTCATAAGACAATAACGTTAGCAAGCACCACGCAGTACTACAAAGGGACCAGTGTAATGGTTAGATAGTTGCTTTGCCAGCTACAACTGGTATTAAGTGGCAAATTTCAATCATACCACAGCATTTTCTTTCTATTTTCATTCCATCAATGCATAAGGAAAATTAAGGAAAAAGGTATATGATTTTCCACCTTTATTCTCTGATTTTACAGAAATATTTACACGAGATTGTCATAAGACAAATTACAAGCAGCTATAATTACTCCCCAAGATATTCCTAAGAAATAATAACTTGACAGATACTATTCCTATCAGTCCAAAAATTAAGCTAATTACATGACAGCTTTTACACTTAATTGACAGCAAATCAAAACTGACCAAATGTAGCTAATTGATAACCCGACTGCTAACTAAGAAAAAATTAAACTGGATGTCCACAAGATTTTGAAATCTTCCTTTCAAGTTCGGTCATGAATGTGAAAAATGAAAAAAAATAAAATCTCTTTATAAGTAAAATTTGTCAGTCAACTAAACAATGAAAGATTATTCTGTTCAGAATGTGATCAAACAATAGAGAACGTGGAATGGATGACAGAACATTAATAAAGAAAAAAATACATGGGTATTAAATAACCATGCTTAATAGGACATGCGGATAGGTGTCAGATATTTCTTTCAATTGAAACTTTCCAAGAGTCAAATATACAATACTAAATAACTAATCGATCAATTTGTGTAAATTATCAATTTTAAAGGTGCTTATAATCTCATGTTAAGTACTTAGTACTTAGACATAGTTTTTCACAGTAATTTCCTATCAGTATCTGAATTTGTATTAAGGACTTCTGAGTTAAAAGGAAATCAGTAAAAGAAAAGATAAAGGGCGTAGCCCTCCTCAAATAAGAGTAACTACTCTAGACTCCAATTACCAAGATATTCTCCACATGACTGATGACCCTACATTATTCTCTCCCCTCCTATACAACAGAATCAGCTATCTTTTCTCTGTCCATAACTAACTCTCCTCAGCTCCCCAGTTCCCGCCTGTGTAAACTATAAGATGGGTCCTGGATTGGGCCTACAGGTGTAGACCTTAAGAGGACTCTCCATTGAGTCCATTTTCATATCAGTTTTAGATCGTGGATTGATCAACCCCCAAAACACTAGTCAAATGAGCGCTATACCAAACCTTATAAAGATACAAGATAAATGATTGATAAATGCTTTGAAAAAAAAAACCCCAAAATTAAAGATATCTTCATAATTAACAATCAAAAGTCAGTCAAAATCAATTCCTCTTGCACGTTTTGGTGTAAAATCTGTAACTGAATACTGAAATTAAATTGAACACAAGAGATTCAAATATTCTATTCAACTTCAAAATAAATGAGTCAATCTTCAACTTGGATTACGGTGAGGTGCAAATATCACTTGCTTTCTTTACAGTAAAGGACATGAATGCACAATAAACATATTCAAACCACAGATCAGCAAATGCCACATATACCAAAATAATCAACGTTTTGATGTATGACAACTCAGTTTATAATAAGCAATAAATAATTAAATGAAGATTAATTTTAAATATTATAAAAAAATGAATGGAAAAAGAAAGCTACGTCCCAATTAATTGATGATAAAACATATAAGGCTTGATTACTTCTATTTCCAAGAGGAAACACATAAAGCTTTATTAATTAATGATAAAATACAAATCAAGTCTCAAAACTTTCCAACAAAAAGAAATAGAAAGAAAACACCCAAAACCTGCCAGTACATTTCAAATCTACCCTAGGCATGCTGTTAATGGTGCAACTTGTACAATAGCACTTTGCCTGAAGTGTTTCCCGCAGCCATGAAACCACCACCTGGACTAAAATCAATACAGCGAGAATATGTATTAATTTTAAGCCACTCTTCTTCATGCTTGAACAGATTGCTAATATTGAGAGTCGATTAAATCTCAAAATCCACTTTCGTAGTCAAATTCTCCATGTCATTATCATAAATTGTCAAAATTAAAACTTACAAATAATGTGATTTTCTTTTTATAAAAAGGCATGTGAATTTTTAAAATAGTCAGTTAGTTACATAATATTAAATTTTGTATGTGAGATTATATGACACTTTCATATAAAAAATGATTCTCTCAATGAATAGGTCTCCTAGAGAGATAAATAGATATTGAGAAGGTGTATGTATAGCTTCCTTACATTTTTGGGTTCATAACAGAACAACAATTATATGTAACCTCATTTATTTTTTAGGGGGTTTTCTATTGTGCAAAAAAGGAGTGCCATTCATAGAACCTTCAATTACTTTCCCTGTCGTAGTACTCGAATATCTTCCCCTTGGTTATTGATTATTGTCATTTTCAGCTTTTGTCTTTCTCCTTATCTCCAAAAGTTCATTTTGGGGATAAAAATTCATTTTGTGTACGTGTGCTTGGTCAAGAAATACCATCCAATTCGAAAAATGTGAGGAACTATGAAGTGTGAAGAACGCATTACATAACATAATTAAGAGAGAGGGCGAGAGAGAGAGAGATGTTTTATGTGTCATAGATAAGTTGCAGCAGACCAGCAGATAAAAGAGGCCCCTTCATTACTCCTCTGTCGTTTGAACTGTAAATCAATTCAGAGGCTAGCAAATAGAGTGAGATTTGACAATTGTGCAGGCAAAGTTGTATTTGAACTAGAACATAGAATGAGATTTGACAATATTAAAAAAAAAAAACCAGAAGGATGGTTAACGTGGAAGATAAAAAGGCAACATGCACAGAAAAAACAGAACAAAATTGATAGGCGGAAAGGGGTGAGCTTCGCCAAAAAGAGGTAGGTCAAGCAAAAAATGGAGTGAGTTGGCTGGAATGTGCGAGTGCTATCGCGTTTTGGCCAGATAATTAAGGGGTTGAGGTGCGAAAAGGGTATGTCTACAATATCTTTGATTTGGCTGCTATTCAGCAGTGATTGCAGCCACTATTTGCATGACGCAAAAATGTGACGCTATGAGTTTCCTGCAGCAGCTAGCAGCCACATCGCTCCAACAAAGTACTATAGCAGCACTATTTTGTAGTATTGGTTACTATGAACTTAGCAAAATCTCCAATCAGATGAATAGGAAGAAAGCCTAAGAAAAATGTACAAGATACTAATACTAATTACATACTAATTAGAACACGTCAATGAAAGAACACGGAAGTGGTGGAAAATAAATAGAAACCACTCAAAGAAACACGTTATTTCGGTCTTAAGGAACTCTCACAAACACTGAAAAAAACTCTCATAACTTTGAACCAATTTTAATATTCACCCTCTTCATACAAAAACAACAAAAATGATGAAACTGCAACCTCTTGATTGAAGAGCACCTCTATTGGTCAATAGATTTTAACAAAATTCATTGTGAAGGTCCAGCATCCATGTCAGAAAAATTTGGGATGATTTCCTACAAAAATTACAGGCAATAGTTGACCTTATGCCAATCAGAAAAAATAATGCATCCAATATTAGATTGGGTTGTCAAGAGGCCTCCAGATTGTCACTTGTTTTTAGCTGGTTCATCATAATCAAAAGCAGAAAATTTGACACCTGTAACATCCAACGACAAAAGTGGCTGCAAACAGAAGAAAAATTGAAACACCTTCGAATTCATCAACCAAAACCAGGAGGCACCTCAGGGTCTTCATCACTACAATCAGAAGGTGGCTTTTGCTCCACATCCATTGAAAATCCAGGGGGCGCATTGCCATTATCATTATCTTCACCAACTGTATCCGGTGATGGATGGGAATCATCCTTGCAATCTGCAGTTAATCCTTGCGTCTGAACCTGCACCTTCCCTTTATCCTGGTCCTCATGATTGTTATTATTTGGATGATTATGCAAGAGAGTGAAACCTGGAGGCTCGTCAGGCTCATTTTCATGCAATTTATCATCCATCTCAGTAGCTGAAGCTGTTTCCCCTTGTCTCTGAATTGGCATAACATCAGATGTGGACAACATAACCTCATCTTTCCCTTTCGGATTCGCCAATTTGTCATAGACAGATTGCACTGTTTCCATGATTTCACTTTTCATGCCATCATCACCTGATCGGATTATTTGCCATAAACTATCCGATATCTGGCCCATTACTTTATCACTGGAAACAAAAAAATAAAAATAAAAGAGCAAAGTAAAACTTCTATAACAAGTACACATAGAGAGACAACATGCCTTTGAAAATGCAATTTATAGCTAAAGGATAGGGTAACTTGCCCAACTTCTTCATAAATGGCATCAGAAAGTTGTCTAGGTTTCATATTTTCCGCTCCAGCACGATTGAGTGCCACTGACTGCTTCACAATTGAGGCAATATGCTGTCGTAAATCTTCCTGTCATAAATTGTTGAATTCAGTATTACTGACATGCAACTTTATGTTAGTTGTTAAATCAAAAAAAAAAAAAAAAACTCGGATTTGGATTCCATGCATTCGATTAAACCTGCAGAGGATCCTTGTCCAAAAAACTTAAGGTCATAAACTGCACAGGCCATTAAACGAAGCTCTAAGAACTCGCCATAATGTTGGTAACAACTATAAATTATAATGAATATGAATAGTTTAATACTATGTGGAGAGAAATGGGCAGTTATGTAAAGTGTGATTGAGTAAATTTTTCTTTCAATTCATTGGATATAAACCCTAAAATGAGAATGATAGGAATTAGGAAGAAAGCATACGTTGTCCTTGAGCTTGCGAACGATCTTCAAACGAAGCCTATCAAAGTCGCCATCGTCTTTCAATTTTGCGATGACCTCTTCTTTGCCAACCACTTCTCCACTGCTTCCCATCGCTCACAATGCTCCTTGGCAACACACCAACTATATTCATTCTCCTTTTCCCTCTATCACCCGCCAAATAAATATTTACACACATTATAAAAATTTAATTATTATTGAAATATAATAATAACTAGGAAAATAGAGTCACGAAGTATCTCTACTTATTAAAAATAAAAATAAGATAAGAATAGATATTGGAAGTTAAAAGAATAGTGCATAATTAATTAGAGAATACGGGAGATTAGAAATATAATTCACCCAGAAATAGAACAAGAAATATAATAGAAACTAGATTAAAAAATAAATAAAAGGGAAATAATGATTTTGTAAGATAAATATAGTATTGAAAATATAAAACTTTTAAATTTAAAAATATTGTACAAAAGTTAATTTTCAAATAATTGTTTTAATGATCATAAATATAATCAAAGTAATTTCAAAATTCTAGTTAAGACAACGATATTCAATAATGATTTTCAAATATTTTATTATATTTAATATTGATCGAAGAATTTCAAATATTAATTAATAAAATTATGGAAAGTAAAAGACTCACTTTATTTGTTCTATACCTAATCAATAAAAATAATAATATTGATTTAATTTAATGTAATTTTTTTTGTCATAATATAAGAAAAACACATACATAACTTCATAAAAAAAATTATGATAACCATACTAGTGTAAGATTATTTAAGAAAGTTTGTATGTCACTTTATTAAATAAATTATAAGATATAAACGACACATTATTAAAATACAAGGGACATAAGTGTATGTTTCAAAATAATAGTATTAATGTCATTAAGAAATGGCAAGGAATAGATGAGTCCCATATTTTTCTTATCACCCTAATAGAGAGTGAATTTGAAGAAGAATTGAAAGTTGTTATTAATATACCTTATTATATACATAAGTAAGTGCATAGAGGTCTCATTTACTCTCGCCTAACTTATATCAAAATTGTTTTAGATCTTTTTTTTTTTTTTTAATGGGTTATAATTTATAATCTATACTAATATATAAAGGAATATACTTTTTGGTAACCACCTTGGTCTCCACTTTTTTGGATCATTATACCCTTTTATTTTAAAAAATTAGAAAAAATATTTTTAATTAAATTTAAAATCTTAAAACTAATGAATTTATACTAATATATAAACGGATTTCACTTTCAATAATTACTTTTAATTTTTATTTTTATATGGACTATTTTATCTTTTATTTATTTTTAATAACTACTTTTTTATGAGTAAATTTTCATTTATTTATTTATTTATTTTTTCAATACAATATAGGCACGTAGTGCCTTTTTCCTGCTAGTAATATATAAAGGGGATACCCTTTTTGGTAACTACCTTGGTCTCCACTTTGTTGGACCATTATACTCTTTTATGTTAAAAAATTAGAAAAAATATTTTTTAATCAAATTTAAGAATTTGAAACTAATAAATCATTTTTACAATAATTACTTTTGGTTTTCATTTTTACATAAATCATTTTATCTTTTATTTATTTTTTAATAACTACTTTTTTATGAGTAACTTTTCATTTTTTTTGCTTTAAATTTTTTTTAATACAATATAAGCACGAAGTGCCTTTTTCTTGCAAGTTACAATAATAACAGTACAGTTTGAATTTAAAATTCTATGTATATTATTCTCAATCTCTCATCAGTAGGTTGAACCTAATAATTCATTTTTATTTCTTTTTGCAAACACACATTAAACAACCATAATTGATTATAGCAACTATATAATTGAAAATCAAATTTTGCGTTCCATAGACTGTATGTGATACTGTAAGCAATTATAATTGATTATGACATGCTTTTCATTATTGAACTTTATTTGTCCATATAATCAATTATATTAATATTATAAATATATAATTGATTATGTAGACTTCGATACATTTTTGGTACTTTAAAAGTTTATATAATTGATTATGATTATAATCAACTATATGGACTACTTTAATAAAAGAATTCAAATAAAAGTTAAATTGTAAAAAGATATATGAGTAAATTAATTTATAATATTATTTTCTTTTTTTTATTTAATTCGATATAAACCAATAAAAAGATTTAATTCTCTTCTCAATTTTTTTCTACTTCTCTTCTACCAAACACAGATAATAATGAGGTTCAAATTCTTGTATAAATTAAACCGAACCATATAACAAGTCATATATTGAACCTAGCTCAAAGGAGAATCGAAAAACAACTCTTATTAATAGATGTTTGGTCAAAGCGTGGCAAAAGAATCACATTGTCTACATAACTTGGTGAAAAGGGGCAATGTCCTTTGTCATTTAGTGCAACTGATCTACATCAAAACAACTCTTAAATGGAATTCCAAACTGTTAATTTAAATTATGATTTTTAGTGTTTCTAAATCTATATTATATTACTATTGACTTGAATCAGCAATCAGCAATCATGCAATGACATTTGGTGTGGGCCATCGTTGCCCACGTGACGGAAAATCCGTGACGAGCGTAAAGCCAACGCAACACAGTAGGGTGCCCACATGGAAAGATTTTTAACGGACACGTCATCACAGACATGTAAGAAACAAAGTAAGCGATATGATGAGGTTGTCTATTAGCGAAACAACGAATGAGGAGAAGGAAGGGGAATAAGCCGTTGCATTTCCCTCCACACGTTCAACTTACCTTATCTTCCAGCTTAGCTACCTCTCTTCACTCTTCACTTCTACCATCTTCCTTTTCCCTCCAAACAAAACAATCACCACCACCTTCAACTTCCACTGCCACCACATTCATTCCAAATAACCACCAATAACCATGTTCACGGCTAGTAAACTAGCCTACATCACATTACCACCCCCTCCTCCATGCACTGCACCCTTCATTCCAATCTCTTCCTTGTCCTCTTCTTCTGCTGTTCACTTCATTCAGTTCAATGGCCGCCACTTATGCCTTCGCCGCAGGCTGTTTCTGCTTTCACCTAAGGCCACTGCAGATCAACAAGGTCTTAACAATATATATCATCACCTTTTTTAATCATGTATATATATAGAAAGGATCTCTTTGCCTACTTCTTCTTTTCTTTCAGGCAAGGTTGAAGAATTTGAAGAGGATGCAGTTGTTGATAGTAAAATCCTTCCATATTGTAGCATAGACAAGAAAGAGAAGAAATCAATTGGTGAACTTGAGCAAGAATTTCTTCAAGCACTGCAAGTATGGCCCTGGAAGTTTCGAATTTGTTGCTGTCTTATTATTTTACGTGTGATCAGTGGCGATTCTACAGAAGACAGAAATTAACTTTTTGTGTGTGTGAATTTGAATTTGTTGTTGGAATATTGGGTTCTGATTTGTTTTGTTCAACAGGCGTTCTATTATGAGGGAAAGGCTATCATGTCAAATGAAGAATTTGATAACCTCAAGGAAGAACTCATGTGGGAAGGAAGCAGCGTTGTCATGCTAAGTATGAGGCAACTTTGCTTGCTCACAGTAGCTGCAGCTGTTGTTGTCATTCATTGAATTTGTGTTTACTCCAGTAGCTTTATCTTTTTAAAGTCTTTATTGGTTTGTTGTACAGGTTCTGATGAGCAAAAATTTCTCGAAGCTTCTATGGCTTATGTGTCTGGAAACCCAATTATGAGTGACAAAGAGTATGATGAGTTGAAACTGAGGCTGAAGGTTCGCTACTTTCGTTGCGTCAATGAAAATTTACAAGTCGTTTTGTAATGATGGTGCATCTATGAACATGTGTCAATTGATCACTGACATTGTCTCACTTAATTGAAGTAATAATCTAGAAGTAAAAATATATCATCCAGACCAAATAAACGGTTAAGAACTGCGGGTAGATACAATTACACGTTTTAAAATAAAAGGAAAACTAGTACCACAGTTCACGGAACATTTTACCATACTGGTTTTATTTTGGGAAAGTTTACATATATCACTTCAAGTTGTATTGATCATTAGTGTGTCTCCCTCCTTCTGGTATTATTTACTGATCTCATAGCTATTTTCAGATGGAAGGGAGTGAAATTGTGGTTGAGGGTCCAAGGTGCAGTCTTCGTAGTAGAAAGGTACGTGTTAATCTGTAATATTCTCTGATTTCAGTTTTGCTTGTTATTTGTTGTTTTATGTATAGTTGTTCTTTGATTAAATTTAAATGTTTCTTGCTATCAAATAACAAATATAGGAGTAGAGGCATTTTTCTTGTTTCATTATGAAGAGATTTGTTTTTTGAATTTGTAATAATAGGCTACTAAGATCTGTTATATCGCAAAGTAACTGACTAGAGATATAGGATCATTTATACATACTCAAATGCTTCTTAGTCATTAGAATTCAGCTTTGGGATTTTACCATGTAATTTGGGAATCATGAGTACTTGGATCTGCTCTTTTTAATCTAATTCCTTTAGTACTAATTACAGTCCGTTTATAGGTTTACAGTGACCTATCTGTTGATTATTTAAAGATGTTCCTGCTG